TTTTTTATGCACTAATGTAAGATGGACAAATACCTAGTAAAGGCAAAATCTTCTATGATGATGCAGCAAAAATATTCAATGCTTTAAAAAATAGAAGACGTTAAAAATGTATTATAACAAAAGAAATTTTTTTTCCAAGTCTATTTGTATTTTTTCAGTTTTTAGAAATCTCACTTAACTTTCTGAAATCTCACCCTGTTTTTGAGAAAGGGTGAGAAATTCTCATCCATTTTTTTTCTATGATGAAAACACTGTAGTGGGTGATTGTAGCATTTTTAATATTGGCCTCTTTTTTTTAAATTTATAATTCTAAATGTTTAAAAATCTGTTGATAATGTAAAACAGTTCTGTACTTATAGTACGCTCTACAAGGTTCAAATATAAAATGAATGGGGAAAAAAAATTTGACCTCTCCAAGTAGGTTGATGTAAAATTTACATATTCTGAAAAACATTTATTATTTACAACCAATAAAATTTAGAGTTTGAGTTTTGAACTCAACCTAATTTTTTTTTTTTTTTTTAAGTAGAAATGTATGGTTATTTACTAACATGAAATTTATTAGTTACAAAATATATCTAAAATAATTGTAATCATAATGATGAAATTACATTAATTAAATTACTTTTAAATATTATTTGCCATATTTATAAAATAGCTTTTACTTGAGTGAAATCTTTGATAACCAAATTTAGGCTACCTGAAATTGTGCAGTATCCAAACCCAAAGTAAAATAGCTTTCTAACTAGCAATAATAATAACAACTGTCTTGTGTGATAGACTATATGAAAAGTTGAAAGCATATGAGTTGTATTTACCGCAAAAGGTGACGATTAACAAATAAATTTTTAATCTCTTTTTTTAATTTATGTTTATTTGCCTTGTGGTCACTGGCGACCCTTAACTTTTTCCCTATATTCATAAATTTGATTATTTTATTACTGAAGAATATTATTATACGATAACAGAAAAAATTTATTTAAAAATCTGTTTCTCATGTAATTTAAACATTTTTCAATGCAAAGTAATGTTAATTCTTCTCTTCTTAAAATAAACTACACCATGTTTTTTAAATCAAAAAATTTCTATGTTTTTTAAGCAATTCTTATTGTTTAAGTCAGCATATGTATTCACTCTGATCTGTTACATTTTATTCTTATCTAATATGTGTTCATATACGTTATATTATTTTTACAAATTTATTTATTTTTTAGCTCGGAATCGTTGGGTGGATTATACAGAAGCCGTAAATCTAGATTATGATGGCAGCCAAGTTCCTCCTGAATGGTAATACCAATTTTCTTTTTAACCATGTTCATATTGAACATGACAAGGACATTTCTGTATCAGATCTAGATTGTCTCAACTGCAATTACCACTGTCAGATTCTTAATTGCTACTAATTTACAGTAGCTTGTCTAGTGCTAGTTACAAATTTTTTATTTTGAGTTTGCCTTTTTTTGTAAGATTTTTTTTTCTCTTACACCACTGCCTAATTGTAACCAAAGCTTGCTGACACTTTGAGTGCACATTCTGATACTGAAATCTTCAAATTTTTTATATTGCTTCATTTATTTATTTATTTTGTGTATTGTCTTCAGATCATGTAATTTTGTTTACAAAATGTCTAATTTGTTGGGCTAGTCTATTACATATTTGAAACAGTTGCTTCTTGAATACCTGATCAAAGGACAAACAATCTATTTAAATACTTAATAAAATTTTTGTTTTTTTAAAGCTATTAAAAATAACAAGCTAAAGTAAAATCATTGTTAGACCGAAAAGGTTTTGTAATTTGATTATTTTTATGGATCCGTAGTGTAATTTTCTATAGATATTTAATCTTCCAGCTTGTGTTTTGGGTTGAATTTTTTCCTACCAAGTCTCGAGCTGCGCTATGATTTTTTTGTGCTAATAGCTGGGTGTGTAATTGGATGGCATTTTTCTTATCATGTCCTTAATCCAAATCCTCCGTGGCTTCAGAGCCGGAGAATTCTGCATGTAGTTGAGGGCTATAGTCAGGGTGCGTACAGACTCCTTGGAAATAAAAAAAGTCTCCAAGGAGTATACTTGGAACTAATTAGATTTCTAAATTAGTCCTTAGAAACTCTTAGATTATTGCATTGCATAGATGAACTTACTAAGTATGCTGATGAATTTGCTGTCCAAACAGGGAAACTAAATGACTGTCAAAATCTAATGTTTAAGAAAAACTTTAAAAGAAAAAAACTTGAATTACAAAAGTGGGAACAAAAAAATAACAGCAAATAATTTTAATTTTACATGTTACAAGCAAACTTAAATAATAATTTACTGTGAATTTTTTTTTTTTTTTGTATAAAATGCCTTAGATTTTCTTATGTACTCAAATTTAAAAATATAAGATTGATAGGTTTTTATGTTAATCTTTAACATCTGTACTTCAACAAGATTTATTAAAATATTTGAAACTGGAAAATGTATTTATGTGTAAAGAAAATCAAGTCTTAACTGAGCAGCCCCAGTTAAGCATTAAACTAATTAGTTATGTAATTTTTTTCTTTAACTATTCTTTTCTTTTCCATTCTGCACATTTTAATAGAGGGCGTTGTTTTCTTTGCATTTAGTTTGTTCGTGAAATCGCTGTTTGACCGGTTTAATGTGAATTTTTATTTTCTCAAAATTTTGTTGAAATTTCTTTTTTGATTTGGTTTTAAGTATTTCATATTTTTTTCGTGTACTTCTGCAATATCTTCGGGGTACTCAGAGAGTTAATTTTGGCATTTGTCCTCTCTCTCAATAGAAAAGGTTTTGTTTTATGGCTTCGGCTGTCATATTTTTATTTCCATTATTTTCTTCATTGCTTCAATTATTCTTTCTTTTGAAAATTCTGCTGCTTTCAAGCGCGTTTCTTTCAAAGATAGTTTTGTCAATTTAGAATTTAATATTTTGTATTCTTTTACTAATGTGAAGGCCAAGTTATTGCTACCAATATCTGCTCACCAATCTAAATTGTGGTCTTATATATCAGTACTGTTTTCAGATCATCACTAAAAGATATAGCGGAGTATGAGGCAAAATGGGTCTTTTTTGTGATTGCAAGTTTTTTTTTTATCAATGATGCCTTGCAAATTGTAAAAAAATTTGGATATAATTAGAAAAGTTTAGAGAATTTTTCATAATTTTTTCCAACATAACATTGGGTTTTTATGTTTTTGCTTAAAAAATACAAAAGTGGATCACTGCGTAAAATCTTATGTGTAGATCAAGTATGTCATAAAAAGCCAAAAATAAATTATAAATATTTTTCATATATTGTAATGTGCTTCTAAAATACTTCAAAATCGTAACTTAAATATTATTTTTAAATTCCTAAATTTGTTTTCCAATTGCATAAACTTATTAAAGAATATTTAAAATCTATTTATAAAAGATTAATAATGTCATTAACATATCTTTACATGTACACAATTGACAGAATTAACTTTTAGATTTCTATTTTGTTGACTTAAACATGGGTAAACTTTCTTTTCGCAGGTTAGCTAATAATGTGCTGACCAATGGTATAAGAATAATAAATATTTAAAAGTACTTGAATAGCTTTTTTTTTTTTTTAATGTTTCTTGTTCCGTAAAAAAGGGTCCTGGTATTAACTAATTCAAACTTTTATTTACCCCCTCAAAAGTTTATATGCAAGGATCATTTTGTTTGTTCTGTTTTATCACTTTAACTATCTTTAAAATAAATGTTTGCTGTTGTTATTACATTTTAATATTGCTAAAAAAATCTGTCATTTTACAACTGTGTTTTATACTACAGTATCTTGCCCTCACTTTTTCTCACTAGTGAAAACGAAAAGAAAAAAAAAATTCTTTTTAAGTCCTTACAGCAAAACTAAAATGACTAAAAACTTTACTTTAAAATTTTTTACACACCTTTAAATTTTACAACTTTTCTTCACTCAGTCAAAAACTTTTGAATTTATTATTTTTTTTTTAGATTAAAAATTTCAAATTTACATAAGTTAAGAATTTTTTTTTTTTGTGAAAAAACTTTTTCTCTACATGTTTTAAGCTATCAGCATTGTAATAATTCAAAAAGCAAAATAAGTTTCCTTACATTTAAAAAATAATTTTTAACCATTAAATTTTCATTCTAAATTGTAATGCATCAGATTATTAGTAACTTCTTTTTACCCTCCCTTTCCTAAGCCTCATTCTGTATGTGAATTTTAAAAAAGTAAAATTTTTGACATGTTTTGCATGTAGATCAATTTTGTAAGAATGGATTATTTATGATCACGTATCAATTAATATCCTATTTTAATGTTTACATTCATATTTAATAATTATTTAAATAACATGCTATTTGAAAATTGCGAAAATTCTTGTATTGAATTACGTGTTTAATTTTTTAAACAATACAGTTAAATCTCAATATCTTTAACTAGAGAGGTTAGATGAAAAAACTGAAATGTCTAAAATTCTTGTTATTAGTAGTGAAAGAGAAAAAGAATTTTCATATTTTCTTAAAATAAACACTATGCGTCAGAAAATGTTAATAAAAAGATAATCCACTGCTGTTGTTTTTTGAGAAAGTTTTTTTTACGGAACAAAACTTATTATGTCTGATGTATTTAATCAACTTTCATAATATTTTCTAAAAGTAAGTACAGTTAATAGAGGGACACTTGTTATTTTTAAAGGGCTTTTACTATTCTATTTGTGATAATTCAAACCTAACAAATAAAAAATAATAAAAATTGAAAAAATGAGATTTGTTTTTTTCTTTTAATTTAGAGTATAAGATATGTAAAGTTTTCCCATTATATATATATATCTTTATATACAATATTTTCCTTTTCGACATCCAGAAATTAGTAAAAGAAAAATTAGTGTACTTTTTTTTTTTTAAATTATCTTTCTACATTATAAGATATTTTATAGTTGCTCTGCTGTCTGTCTTGCATAAAATTGAAAAATTAATCATAAGATCAATTTTAAATGCTTGTTCAATAAATAAGATTTCTTTTAAATGCACAAATTTATGCCTCTTTTATATAAATAAAATTTTGTTAAGTACTTTGCAAAAATAATAACAATAAAAAAACTTTTTTTTTTTTTTTAAATCTTTAAGCCACTTATTTTTTGTAAATGAGAAGAAATTATTTTTAAGAAATTATCTCATAACTTATATGCTTAAAAAAATCAATTTTTTAAAATGTTGAAAATAGCTCTAAATTTTTAAGTTTACTTATGATTAAATTGAAAATTATCTTTTTTCTGTAAAAAAAAAATACCAAATTAGATTTTTAAGAACAAGTTGAATTTTCTGTTAATTAAAATATTTTATACTCTATTTACTTGCAAGCAAGCACTTAGGTTCTTCAGTGCTACGTTATAGTAAGAAAAAAAAATTTTATCGTAAAAACGTGTGCAAGCAGCAGAAGTTTTTTTTTATCAACCTGTATATTTCTGTTATAAAAGTAATTTGAAAATGTACATAAAGTTGCTGTTTCATTGAAACAACCAATACTTAAAACAGCATTGTGGCTTATTAACCCCTTAATAGCCCAGAAGTATTTCAGATTTACTTCTCACAATTAAATGTAATTATTTAACTTTTTATATTCAAATTAACTGTAAGACAACAGTAAGAATGATATAAGTAACAAAATGATACCATAAGTGCAGTGATGGGCCTAGTAAGTAAAGGTACCATGCTGCATTAGTCTGTTAAAGGTTAAGATGTATTATTTAAATTTCTCTTGTTTTTCTATAATAACAGGCATCGTTGGCTGCACTACATGACGGATGATCCACCAACCATTGTAAAGCCAGTTGATCATAAATGGATCCAAGATTATTCACCTAACATGTCTGGAACTAAACATGCATATATGCCCTATTCTACAACAAAACCTAAAGTTCAAGCTTGGGTTCCACCCAAATAATTCATTCATTTGTTTTAGATATATTTAATTATAATAATTAGTGAAGTATAAGAAATTGTTTGTCATTCTATTTTGTTTGAAATAAAATTATAAACGAAAATGTGTATTATAACTTAATTATTTAATTTGATGTAGTTAGTGGCATATTCTTTCAAAGAATGATACATTTTATTATTATAAAGTACTGTTTTTTTTAAATTTCATTTCTGCTGCTGGAACCAAATCAGTGTATGGTAATATAATGTTCTGAATAAAGAAAAGCATATCTAATGTCATACTACATTCCTACTGTAGTAACAGATAGTTTAGTACAACATTAACAATATTGATTTTAATTAGGTACTAACCATATAAGAACTAAATATTGTGATCTAGCCTTCTTGTCCAGAACAAGCATATGTATCATTTCATTATATTTATGTTAATTGATAATGATGACCATTCGTTTTTATGAAAAAACTGAATGAAAATTATTCAGAACCTTTTAAAATTATTCCTTCCATCTAAAGGGAATAATAGGGTGTTTTTCCTACAAAATGTTAATATTTTATTATCCTTATTCTTTAAGTAACACATGTGTATAAAAGAAAACTCATTAATTTATTATGATTACTACCAATTAATAAATTTAAAATGTAATATATATACTTATTCTGTGTAGACAAACTGAAACCAAAATTTTAGAAATTTTGTAGAGATCTATTTGTTGTAAAAATTTATAATTATAAACAGGATGGAAATTTATATGTAAAATAGTCAATTAAACTTTCACACTGTTTTTTATGATAAAATGGGAATACCATTTGTTATAAATAACTTTTATTCCAAACTGGTAATAACACTTCTAACAAAAATATAGGCATATTATATAAAATGCTATGCAACAACAGTTTAAAATTTGTTACAAAATATATATATATATTTTATACATAACAAGTCTGTACAGAAAACTATAAAATTGTACAAATGATTATTTCAATAGATTAAAATCTGTAAATGTCGAATTCATATTAAAAATTTATGTAACATCACAATCAAATAATACTTTTCAATACATAATAAAATATTGCAATTCAAATTCTAGCTCAATAAACAGATCTTCGATTTTAATTAAACTTTCCAATTTTACTAACAATGAATAGAAAACAAAATATTTACACTTTTTACAAACAAAAAAAGTACACGTACACTACTTACTTCATCTTCTATTCGAGCTCTTTAAAAAGGACGAATTTGTGCAGACTACTTAAAAGTAAATATCACAAACAAGGACAGTAGGTACAAAATGGTTGTCACAAAAAGCTCAAGTACATAGTTTTTGACTTGGCACAAATTATGTACACTAATGCCCTTTTATTAGATTAAAATTAAAAGCTAACTATTCTATGCAGGAGCAAATTCCAAATTGATGTAAGGACTTGCAGACAGAATTTCTACTTCTTTCTGCTCTACTGGGCCTAAACAGCACAATGGGAAGGATAAAACAATCAATATAGATATCACACAGACAAACAGAATATTGCACAAATCTGAGACTGACAGTCACAAGTAAATTTTTGCATGCCTTAATTTAACTTTAGTTACATTACTATTTTTTAATTATTAATAAAATTGGATTCAGACTTTATTTTAGATAAACATAATTATGCTTTTAAAAAGGAATAAATCTTTTATCTATTCTTCAACATTAGTTTAATTTTGGAAACTTTCTTTTAATTTTCCAGTAAATAACCACGTCAAAAAACACATGTGCACTTTTTTCTGAAGATAAGTTATTAGGTTTCATATATATATTTTTACTTACTAAAACATTTCCTCTTTCACCTGCCAATTTGAGAATACTAAATTTAATAAAAAGTCTATAAACCACCATCCTTAAGTTAAAATTTGTTATTGAAAAATATTTTTAATTTAATAACAAAAGTAAAAGAACAAGATTTTACATATTGTCTTTTAATAACAGGTAGATCTTCCTTTGAATTTTTTTTTTTTTAAATTTTAGTAAATAACTTTGATTATTCTAAAAGTGAATAAAAGCAGCTCCTTTAAGGTTAAAAAGCATTGTCGAATATATAGAAATGTTTAAAGTAAACATTACAAATAAAAGTTGAACTTAATTTTTCTAAAAAAATTTTTTTGTCATGTTTTTAATCTATTACCTAAAGAAAAACATAACAAACATGGATACTAAAACAACACAAACATATAAAAAAGGCAAGCAAAGCATCAAGCAAAAGATATTAAAAAAAATAAGAAAAAGGCAAGCAGATACTCCAAAGATTCCAAGTATTATCAGAAAATAAAAAAGGTTAATAAGAGAGTCAAAAGTTGTTAATGTGTCAATATTTAGAAATATCTTGTCTAGGCACAAGTTTTTCAGCAATTATCTCAAGCTCAGAAGAAACCTCTGATAGCATTTCAGAGAAAGGGCAGACATCCGACAGTGCAAGACTGTTCGGCATCTTTAAGAGTCATGCTTGCGGGTGAGTCGGAAACCGCCGCCTGGGTGCACTAGCGTTAGATCTTACAGAGCGCTTGTTACGTTTATAGGAATTAGATCTAATCATCGAACTAAACCCACTTGGTAATGGATTCTGCTCATAGTATTCAATTATTTCCATTAATCTAGGCTCAACTTCCCCTAAAAGTGGACGATTTGAGGGTTTACCATTCCAGCAATCTTCCATGAGACGCCAACAGTTTTCATCAAACTGTGGCAAACGTTCTGGTCGAGCTCCTGGAACAGTTATCAGAAAAATGAGGCTAAATATTAAACAAATCTAACAAACAGACTGTACAATATCAATAAATCAACAATATAGCAATCATTTTATGTATTTACAAGTTGTTGTTTTTTTGCACAGAAATGAATATCAAAGATGTTCTAAAATTTTATGCTGTTTCATTTTTTGTAATAGTTCAAATTTTAAAATTGTGCAAGACACACATTAAATTTGTTTTTTAGAATGCTGAAAAATTAAATGCCTCCAAAAGAATGTAAAACTGTCACTTTGAAACTACTTGAAATACCCAAAACATAATGTTTAAATTTTAAAAAATTACATTTATAAAATCATGACTATGAATAATTGCATTCCCTGAAGACATACAAAAACATTAGATTGTAATAGTTCGCTTTTTTTTAACGATAAAATTTTGAAAAATATCCTTAAGTAATTTATATTTTTGGAGCTTTTTTAGAAATTAACAAAATATTAAACATTTTAAGGAACTTTAAATCATAATGTTTATTCTTTTTGCATAAATCCGATGTACAACCTTCGCAATTGGTGCAAAAACAAGTACAATTAGTATGAAACTTTATTTCTAATATTCAGAAAACTTTCCAACTTCTTTCTGAATAAAAAAGAAATGGATATAAAAACCTATAAAAGAACGAAGAAAAAAAAAACTTGTTAGTGAAAAGATTTTTATAATAAAATGAAGTACCTTTTTTCACTGAATTCCACAACTGATCTTTGCTTTGACATTGTTCATATACATATGGCAATCTTACATGATCAGCACATATATACCAAAATAATATTCCAAATGCATAGACATCAACACTGTTATCATATTTTCCACTAAACAGTTCAGGAGCCATATGAATTGGTGTACCCACAATGCTACCAGACATCATAGCTTCAGGCTTGCAAAAACCAAGATCTGTAATTTTGGCTCTATTGTGCTTATCCAGCTAAAAATAAATTATAAATACAATGTAGTACAGAAGTCACTCTTTAGAAAATAATGCTGTCAAATCCTGTTCACAAAATAGCAAACACTTCAAAGCATAGAATAATTTTGAAATCTCCAAATAAATTTCCTTTCATTATCTGATTTAATGAAGGCAAAAGTAAGCAACAACTTTTGTTGTTATGCAGCAATTGCTTCTGTCTCATATAATTCACTAAAACAGGATTAGACTGTAAAAACATTCAAATGAAAATGAGTGTAAGTTAAACTTACCGTACAAAACCCAAACTATGTAATTTAAAGCAACAATTTCAGGGGGAAGGTCAAGGAACCAGTATTTTACCCAAATAAGTGATTAAATTTAAACAGATTTAAGTATGTATAAAAGTTTTTAAAACATTTATAGTTTTCTTCGTTATACAGAATTATAAATATAATAAAGTCCTGCTTATTTTTCAAGCCATATTAAAAATAAGTAAGAGTTTAATATTACTTTGAAAGCTTACTTAGCTTTTCATCATTCTGAATTATTAATTTTGAATTTCAATATAATAAACTACTTGGGGTACAAATTCAGTTTAGATTACACTTTTGTACAAGAGTATATTATGGGAGAATTAGAATTACATGAACTCTGATGATATCAATACTACTCTTAACAACATACATATCATTTTAAGATGATAAAAATAGTGAGAAATAATTGTCGCTGACAAACTTTTTTGTCAAGAAATCTTATTTCATTAACTATGATGTATGTTTGATATGAAGATTAATATGTTCATGAATATTCATTAACAAATTTAAAAGCAGCTTTTAAGCATTGCATAAATCCAATATTACCATGTTACAATTAAATTTCATATTATCTCTCGAATTAAAATATTTCTTCATGAATGATCTGGAGAAAAAATATGGAGTCAATTAATCTGAATAATTAAAGTACTTTCGATCAAAATTTTTTTACTACTTTTTACACCTTGATTTTTTTTCTTTTGATTTCTAACAATTGAAAATATTCATAAATAAAATTATACATAATAAGGAGTTCATTTTAATACAATAGAACTAAAATATAAATACAATAGAACAAATCATGAAACGAACTATTACTTTTGAGCAGAGCACAATTAATTTAAAAATAATTTTTAAACTTACCAAAACATTTTTTAACTTAATATCTCTGTGCACAAGCCCTTGTCCATGAAGAAAACGAATGCCCTGAACAACATCCAAAGCAACCTGTCAAGGGGAGTTTAAAATATATACATCAATTACAGTATTTCAATTAAAAAAGCTTTAAAAGTAGAAACAAACATTCAAAGATTTTGTCTTTCAAACATAAGAAAATTAGGTGAAAAACAGTTCAAGCTATTTATAGAATTATTTAAAATCATATATATATTCTGCTTTATTCATGATTGTCTCAAAGATTTTGATCCAATTTTAAATTCATAAGATATCTTCAAATTTATTTTCCAAGGTTTCAAAAATATCAGATTAAGACAAACATACTCATAAGAAAATTCATTTAAAAGACTCAAATTTAGACAGATTTTTAAATTATTCTATTTTATTTTTGGATATTATAACACCTCTAAATGTTAGCCCCCCACTTTATACAAAATTTGAGCTGCAGGCATCCCTGTAATAAAAAAAAAGTTTGCTTCAAGTCATTCGATGTGAGAGAAGTTTATGGATGGGAGATATTTCAGTAAAATTTCACTGAGGGTCTCAAAGCTTTAAAAGTTAAATAAAATGGAATAAATTCGAAGAAAAAAAAGAATAATTAATTGAACTGTAATTCTTAATTGCGTATCAGAAATACTTGGAGCCCAAATGAATAAACTTATCAATAGACTCTTGATAAAAATGTTATTGGTATTGCTAAAAATACAAGGGAAAGAAAAAGGTCGTACGTTCCAGAAAAGTCGATAGATGAGGTAGAGGGAAAAGTAAAAGTGATGAAAATCAAAAATCTGAAGATAAAGGCCAAGGATAAGAATAAGTTAAGCTGTGCGGTAAAGGCCTTTCATGGACTGTAGAGCCAAGGAGTAAGTAAGGTATTGTTAAACAGTCCATGCAGTTGCAATGCTAAACAACAGGATAAAAGAGAATGTATTTCATTTGGTACATAGCAAAATAGGAAAGTGTTTTAAATTTGCTAAAGCTGCAAAACTTGTTAAAATATGCATAAAAAGTATAAGCAATTCTTGCATTAAAAAAGTTCTCTCTAGCTTTGAATATGTTGCATCTTAAAGTATCAATAAAAAGTTAGAAATATGAAATACGAATAATTTTCTATGCAGAAAGAAATTTAATTTTAAAATACCTGTAATCTAGTTTTCCAAGGAAGACTCATTTTTAATGCAGAATAAAGATCCCTTTGCAATCTATCCATAATGAGCAGCACGGCAGGGGTGCTGCCCCCGGCATATGTGAGATCAATCACAGAACCCCTAATTTGTACAATACGATCATGCTCTGGAATACTCCTGTAGAAGAATTTGATAGTTTAGAAGAAACATGAATGTATTGAAGTGTACTGTCCAGTAGTTAAAACTATTATTATTCAGGTAATCTTAACTTTTCTAGGCCTTTAACTAATTTGAATTTCATATTTTATTAGGTACATTGTATATTTTATTTATTGTAAAAAAAGATAAATCTTTAAAAAAATATTTGTTTATTACGTGAAAATGTTCTATGAGTGCAGTGGCACTCATCTTAAACTACCACCCCTACAAAAGGCTAATGTATTAGAATTTTTTTTTTATAGGTCAATTTCTTATTTTTAGGCCCTAAGCATCACAATTGCTTAATTTTTTACAAAATGAAAATTTAACCCAAATTAAAGACAAACTTAAATTTAAGGTTTTCCAGATAAAATTTTAAAATTAACTTTAGATTTATGTATGCATTAAGACTTAAATTATGTATAAATAAAGAAATTTTACTAAAAATTAAAATTGATAATTTTTTCATCTAAAATTATTTATAATTTCAAAATGCTTCGTGATATAAAACAAATGCTAAAACAAGATCATTTTTAAGCTAATATCAAAATGCTAACTAAGAAAGATTGAAGCATGAAATTTATCAAATGATATGCATAGTTATAAAATTCTAGATTCTCAGCAATAAAATGAATATTTTATTGCTAAATGCCTTGAATATGCATATAATTAGTAGATAGTTTACCTTGTATAGTAAAACTCCATAGCCAGATCATTCCAATGTTTATCATCAGGAGGAACAACAGATTTAATTGCACATGGGGAGGAGCCAGCCCATTGCTCACATGCATAGACAACACCATACTGGCCTCTTCCAATTTCTCGTCCAATGTGAGGCATTCCTAAAATGCATTTAGGAAAGTATTATATTTTTTAAAGTATTAACAATGCCAAGTAGAACAATGATATTTCAAATACTCATTAATTTACAGCATGGAAGACCCAATCAAGGCAGGCATGTCCCAGTAAGGCAGATAAAATAAAAACCCAGCTACTAAAATAAGATTGAATTTTGGAAGATTGAACAAAACAGCAACTATCCAAATTTTTCCAATGATAATTCGACTGTCAAATACTGTTGTAGATTTGCGAACACATTTTTTCTATTATGAGCAAAATATGAACAAGATAAACTGATTTGCGCGTGAACACCTACTTTACATCTTTAAGAACTAACCTTATCCTAATGAAGATTAATGTTTTTTTGCATATAATCAGCAGATCAGCAACATTTTTTTCTTATTTTATATGTTTTAGTATGTTGGAAAAGTTAGAAGTATAGCACACAAAATTGTTTCTTTCTACCTGAGCACTCTTTTTCAAAAGATAGGCTGATTTACACTAATATTACCTAATTAATATAACAAGCTAAATAGAATATTTTAGATACCAACCATAATACAGTGCAGAACCCGTTATCCGGAAATCAGAAAACCGGAAAACCAAAAAACCGGAACGAAATTCGATAAATTTTCCTGCCATTTTAAAAAAAAATTTTCTTTCCTCATAAGAGTTTAGGATTTTTCGTTCTTTTTTGAAAGATGTTTACCTTACCATCATTTTGGAAATAATCATTAGTGTATTACTCCATCGTTTTTTCTTCTTTTTCAGATTATTTCCAAAAAAAAAAATTTTTTTTTAGTTGCGTTTAACATTAAAAAAACGGCTTTTTGTAGCGATTCAGAAAACCGGAAAAATCAGTTATCCTGAATAGCGATGGTCTCGATCGTTCCGGATAATCGGTTCCCTACTGTACTAACACATTTATTGAAAGTGACGAATATAAAACATACCATAAAGCATAACATCTCTCAGTGATGTACTTTCCAGAGCAAATTTAGCAAGTTTAGGTGCATGCAATTTTCTAACCTGAAACAAAGTATTTTATTTTATTTTCTCCGAATGGACAGAAATTGTATTGATATCAATAAAACAAAAAATATATGTGTTTGTAAATTATAACATTATTCTTTTCATTCTTTAAAATTAATTTTAATCGAAATACTATTTATAAATAGGAAGTTTTAGTTAATTTAAAAATTTCTGAAGATAAGTAGCTTTAAAAAGTAACTTTGTAAAATACTTTTACCAATCTAAATTATAATTATGCTTACATAATTTTACAACTAATTTCAAATTTTGTACATTAAAACTAAATACTACAACACAAGATAATTTTTTTTAAAAATCTATGAATAGCTTTTCATATTATTTAATGACTATGCAATTTCTATAAATGTCAAATAATATTAATAGAGAATGTATATTCACTTTTAAACGTTGTTCTTCTGTCCTTTCTAATCTGCCGGAATGCATAGCTTCAAGATGACGCAAAGAAGCCCCGAACTGTTCATGTGAAGCTCTGAGTCGTTCTCGAAACTGCGCACAAATAGAACGTGCAAGCCTAGATTCGCTGAGACTCATCAACATATCATATGCCACCCTTCGTTTCCACTCACTCTCAATAACTGGAGGTGTTTTCCAAGGCAATGTTTGCACTAACTATGAATCAAGGGATTTAAGTTTCAATTAAAAGAAATTTTTAAAAATAATACTTCATTTAATTAATTTATATCAAACATGAAATTTCTAGAATCATTCATCTCGACAAAAATATATTTTAGGTAAGTAATCATTAAAGCCTTAGAAATTGTTTCGCATTGTTCAAATTTAGAATTGTTCAAATTCGATTAACTTCAGATATTTCTCTTAATGTTATCTTTTTTACAAATATACATGTAAGAAAAATATTTTAGAACGATGAAAGAAATTCATCAAAACTTCTAACAATTAAAGTTAATTTCATGTTCTACAATATAAAAAAAAAGTGAAACCTTTTAGCATGATTCACGAAATTCTTATTCATAACTAAAATAATCCTAATCAGAAAGGATAAAAATTTTGAACTGAGACAAAAAAAATAAATAGAATAAATAACTGCAACTTATGATTATGGACTGATTTAACTTATTAACACTAATCTGGTGCTTAATCTTTAATTAAAAAATTAACAAAATTTAACATACTAAGATGAAATTTGATTTCCTATTTTTGAAAACATCATAATAAAAGAGAATTTTTTACGTAAATTAAAAGTTATTCTTATCAGTTAATTATGTTTGTAGCATTACATTTATAACATTAATTAGGAGGAGAAAAATTTTCAAAAATAAGCGTTAAATTATAAGCATTTTGATATAATTTTGCAAAATATGGATAGTAAAAACCTATCTACAAATAAAATGTTACATAAACATATAAAGCAACAGCATAATAATAAGTGAAATAAGTTATCTAAAATATAAAATTGATGGCATCATTTTTCAACTGAAATAATCCTTAAACAAAATCTTAACTGTAAAACGGCAAATTAAGCAAAGTTGCTTGGTAAAATTTCTAATATAATATTATAGTAAAACAAAAATTTTAAATTAGAAATTTTGCTTCCACCATTCAAATGCATTCAAGTTGCAATTTTATTTGATTTGATTTAAAACATCACAAGCTACAATTGGTAGCTAATTTAACAATTTCTCGGCTTAATAATTTCAAAATTGACATTTTTGGTACTTAAGAAAAAGATACCTTTATTTTTTTTTCTTATGAAAAACTTCTGCTTAACAAAACTCTTCTCAGTTTGGAAGAAAACAAACTTTTAAATAAAAATATAACAAACCACAAAATAAATATTAATATATATCACAAACTATGATATATTGAATAGGGGCTAAGATCATTAAGTTATAAAGTACTTTTGTATATGTATATTTTGTGTTTCATTTGATAATAATAGTTTTTTTTTTTTTTTTGGTGAATATGTTTAATAATTCAGGATCCACGAAAACTGTTACAAATTAAGAATTCTCCTTCCTCTGTTACACTTTGCTATAACTTTAGCTGCATACTAAATTACATTCTCTGCAACTTTGCAGGCAAAAGTCTCATAAACATGCAGGAAAATTTAAGAATATACTTAATTTTTACACACTTTTAAAATAGTACATGTTTTAAGAGAAATCAAAATTCAAATAAAATAAAATTTTGTGTAATTCAACCAATCAAATTTTCAAAATCATTAAGTTGATATTCCAATATTCATGAAATACATATTTAATTGAAAATTTAAACAGCACAAATTTTGTTTTAATAACCCTACATCATTAGCTAAAGACTATTTCTTGTACAAGATTATTTCCAGCGGATAGCTGAATGATTTAATTATAAAGCAATGTGGTGTTAACAAAAGATATTTTTAACCATTACCAGCGATACTTACACAAACATATATGTCAGAATAGTCACATTGTCAAAAACTAACATGCTATTTATTTAATGGGAATTATGGTTCTAAGATTTTAACTAAAGATTTTTCTGAAAACTCTCCACACAACCTTACAACAAAATTCACAAAATAAAATCAAAAATGTCATCCAAAAATAAGCACCAATATTTCAGACAATGTCCTTGAATATCCACATAAAACAAATTTAACAAATGTAAATTGTTTAAACCTCTTACCAAAGAAAAGAAGTTGTCTGAGACTCTGTTGTATAAAAAAGGGTACTCTGACATCAGGAAGTGCTGGTGTGAACCCCATAGTAGTTTATCATACTGTTTGGGGCTGTCTTTGGGATAATGAAGAGAAGCAATTTTCTATGAAAGAAAAATAGGTTTTTGCTTCCATTTACATCAACAAATAGATGCTATGAAAGGAAGAATAAGCTATAGACAAAAGCAGCCATATATAGCAAAGCCATATACACCATACAATGAATAATAGATTGACAAAGATAGGTGAAAAGGCACAGTAATCAATTTTGATGAAAACACAATAGACTGAAGCAGCCATAAATGGATGAAAAAATAATTGGATTGCAAAGAGAGAAGTTTTGTAAATAATAAAGCAATGTCAATAAGCAAAACAGCTAAACCTATGAAGCAAACAATTTAAAGTAAACCATCATACAAGAAAACTTGAAATCCTTTCTTTCACAAATCAGAAGTTTTATGTAATTTTTAAGCATTTTAACAAAGTGTTGACTAGTTTTTTTTTCTTTTTTTTTTCTTTCTTTTAAACTTTATTTTGCCAAATTTAAACTGTAGATCTGACAAAAGCTTATTTTAAACAACTCATACCTTAATTTTAGTTTTTAAAAAAAATTATTACAGCTGGAAAAAAAACTTGACCTTTAATGAGACAATATATTTTACTTTGGTTTTAAGGATTTGATAAGATAGGATAATTTTATTTTAATACAAAATATACCATGCAGTTAATTTGTCAAACTAGTTGTCAAGAAGAATACTTCAGTATCCCTTTGAGCAAATTTCTAAATTATGAATTTAAACAACACATTAAACTTTCAACTTTTGGATCAACACATTACAAAACACATTTTGGACCAAAACAATATTAAACTAAAACTATTATAGCTAAAATAAGAAAATATTCTTAGAAAATTTACTAATTTAATTACACAGACTGTCATAATTAAAAATTATAATCTAAATAAAAAGCAATAAGACAACAATTAATAACAAAAAAACAGATATTAGTAGAAGCAATGCATTAGTAAAAGTTATTTGTTAGTAAACGTTTTTGAATTAGAACTAACGAAAAGAAAATATCTGAAAAATATGATGCCATCAAGAATAAATAACATAGAAAACATATATTGCAAAAATGTTTCAATACATATAGTTACCTGTTTCATTTTCTCAAATAAAACTCGTAACAATGAGGAACTGGTTCTGACGGTTACCTCAACCTTTAATAAAGTAAAATAACAGACTTTAACATTAAAAACAAAAATTTGCTGATACAAATTGTTTGAAAAGTTAACATTAAATTAAAAACACAAAAAAAGTATGAAATCAAACATAATGGTAGGATTTTTTACATTGGTCAAACTCAGAGTACCTTTAAATGTATCAAACATGAAAGATATGTACAAAAGGAAGATATTAAATGTTCCTCCATCACCTATCAGTGTAAAAGCTTTAAACATTGTTTTAAATTATCTTTTAGACAGAATCTTTCAATATTAATTTCCAGAATCAATTTTTTCAATGTTTATTTTTAGTTTTAACAAGAATTTTTCAACTAGAAATGCTTTGGTATTTTTCTATCATAGCCTTAGCAAAATGAAGGCACTATGTATAAATAACAGTCTAAAAGAGCCAAAATAATAGACTTTATTTGTGCTCATTGCACTGCTTTATACCTCAAAAATAATAAAATTAAAAATTATTAGAATTTTAATTTAAAAAAACTTATTTATATATACTCTCATTAAGACATTGAGAATTTCTTAAAAGTTTGACAAACACCTTAAAAAAAATACAGCTCTAGCTGCTGTAAAGTTTAGTAGTAAATATAAATTTATTTTACAGTTAAAATAACAAATATATCACTTTAAAAAAATTGTCAGAAGTATAATTCGATTTATAAGGCTCACTCAAATTAAAATATTTCATAATGCACTCTTTTTTTCTTAATTTTAAAAATGAAATAGTTATACATAGTAAATAACTCAAAATAACAATAATAATTTAATAGCAATAAAAGTTATTTAATAGCATTAAATAACTTTTTCTATTCAGAAAAATAATTGGACATTTTTAAACATTAAAATCTTACAAGTTTACTGTTAGCAAGTGCATTATAAGTCATTATGATAGATACATAATTTGACTGAAAGAAAACTGATTTGAGAAATTTCTAATTGCTAAAAAATAAAAAACTTTTTTAATAAAAAAAAAAACATTGAATGAATAAATTAAACTATTTACTTGATAAGCAGCATTCAATATTTGCTTTAAGGCATTACTAGCTTGAGATGGCTCTGAACTATCCTTTAAATTTTCCAAGCTAGTCAAACACCTTTCAAGTGTGCCTATTGAATAAAAACATAAAACATTGAATGGAAACAAAAATACAAACAATTTGTTAAATTAAAAAGTTATTATTCACTACAATAGAACAATTAAAGCATATACTAAAATAAGTTTTCCATAACTACCTGTATATTTTTTAAAAAAATTAAAATTAAATCAAAATACAGTAAAATATGCATAATTCTAACTTGTGAAATTTGAAATTCTAGATAATTTTGTTTTAAATAGTTCAAGTTTTTTGTATGATTGCTTTTAAAATTGTTTCAAAGACATGTTTTACATGATTTGAATTTTTAAAAAAAGCATGTTTAATGTATGAATGTCAAATTATTTTAAAATACAGACAAGAAGTTTGAAAGAAAAATTTATCTTTTTATACAACTCACAATTGCATCCCATATGTGATTTTTTCATATATCTCTTTAGTCAAGAAATATATGCAATTGGAGTGTTTAAGAAATAAATGCAGTTGGAGTGTTTAAGAAATATATGCAATTCAAAATGCAATTGAAAAGTAAAGATATATATGGAATTGAGGTTTACAGTGTTTAAGAGAATACATGCGATTGGAATTTTGTATATTTCCATTTTTTATCTGGTCCTTTTGATTTCAAATTATCCAAGTTTGATTCTGCAATATATATACAGTACAGAACCTCTTATCCGGAAATCCGGTACATTTTCCTGCATTTCTTTAAAAAAATGATTTTTTCCTTATAAGATTTTAGGATTTTTCTTTCTTTTTTAAAAGATGTTAACCTTACCATCATTTTAGAAATAATCATTAGTGTATTACTTCATAATTTTTTTTTCTTTTTAAGATTTCTAAATATTCCCTTTTTTTAAGGTTTGACAGAAAAAATGGCTTTTGGTAGTGATTCAAAAAACTGGAAAAATCGGTTATCCGGAATAGCGATAGTCCCCATCGCTCCAGATAATCGGTTCCCTACTGTATAAACTTTGAAGTAATATTAAAATTTTCAATACAAGTACTTACCAATAATTTTTTTTACAGGGGAAATTTAAGAAAATTAATCTTTTAAAATAAAATAAAAATTAACTTACCGACAAAACTCTCTCTGAGATAATCAACAGAACCAATTAGTTTACCGGCAACAGCACTGTTAAGGGAATTAAGAACAAGAGCTTGAATTTCAGTTGTACAGATCTGAAGATCTCTAGCTGAAGGGGGTTCACCTTCTAACAGATCTACACCTAAAAGTTTAAAGTAAATGCGAGGCATTTCTTATTATCAAATAGATATACATCTTAGAGTGACACACAACCTTTAAAAAACTCCACACAAAAAGCAAGTTTTGGAAATATCAATTTTCAAATTTTAATAATAAAAAGAAATAGGAGTAAGCAAGAACCAAGTTAAATAATAATAAAAAGAAAGAATGATTACCAATTATCATTACAATAAAAATCTTAGTTTTTAAAATCAGGACATGGCTGGCAATGAGTGTTTATGAAAATGGACACAGAAATGCATGCATGCAAAATTGGACACAGCTGCTTACAAAAGTAGAAATTGCATTTGATGTCATTCTTCCAAATTCTTATAAAGTCAAACCCCGCTATAGTGAACTCCTGGATATAGTGAACGAAATGTTCGGTCCCGTCCTTTGCTATACACGTATAATGTTATTTTTTGTGGATATAGTGAACTAAAAAAGTGAGGAATTATGAACTTTTTTCTGTCTTCGGCTGATTTTTTTCTTCTTCATTTTTTTAAAAATAATTTTGAAATTTCAACTTCAAAATAAAGACTCATACTGATTTTAAAAACCATCTATACCGTGGAATGTAGCAACAAGCATTTTCTCTTCTTTGCTTCTTTTATCACACTCGCTTATGCATCCCTAAACAAAGGCCTACCCAGGAATATGTATGGACAAATTTTTCCCTGCATCAGCTAAAGATTAATAATTTTTTTTTGTACACAAGACGGGGAATAATAAAAAATAAAAGCAAGTCAACACATTTTGGTTACTACACATTATCTTTCAATCATTTTTGTATTTAATTTTATTGGTCATTTATGAATAGTAAAAAAGAGTTTGGAACCATTAGTTAAAATTGTTTGCCGAGCGGATATAGTGAGCTCCCAGTTATAGTGAACCGAAATTTCAGTCCCTTGAAGGCTCACTGAAGGTTTGACTGTATAAGAATTTTTTCTTTACTTAAAGAATAAACTGGGAAAGTCAAAATAATTCATTATGTGATATTGTCCAATTCCATAAATTACTTGGTACATCTTATTAAATTCCTTTAAAAAAAAAAAAATAAATAAAAAAAAAAAAAGATTTAAAGAATCAACAGTTGTTTTTACAAGATTGACACAGGTGCTCTTAATATATAATAGTGGTTGTAAATTTATGTTTCAGGAATTTGGAGTTTCACTTTATCGTTCAGAATTCTGAATTTGAAGGCATCACCTGAAAAGGTACATCTGTAATATACCTAGACAAGCACAAATAATGTCTGGGAGTTTGCCTTGTAATGATTTTGCTTAGTTTTAAAATAAATAAGGAAAAGTAAGCTTACAATTTCCCAATCAGTAGTTAAATTTGAATTAAAAAACTAAAAATGTGCATTTTGAACAGTAGCAATTTTCCTTTTCATTCATTTTGAGCTATGTCCAATTTTGCAAACACGCATTTCGACCTGTGTCTATATTTATAAACAGCTATGTCGAGGTTTAAAATTTGGCCAACGGTACAGGTGCATTTTGAACTATGTGTCAATTATCATAAGCATGCAACAACATAATAGAGCACAAATAATGTAATTAAGTAACAGTCAATGATGCAGTAAGACCAAACAATGTAATTTTAAAATTAGCAAGTAACAAATATTGTAGTTATAAAAACTATAATTGTTGCAGAAGAACTAAACTTAACCATAACCTAATGGCAACACTTTTTCTGTAAACATTCAGTCAGTTAGTCATGCTAACCTGTTTGCTGCACAGCACACTATAATAACTGACTCTTGGTTTTTAATACTTGTTATCATTCTGTTATACATTTGTTAATTAAAGGAACTTAAGAACTTATAATTTATTTGTTTCGCCATCATTACGAAGAAATTATTTTAAAATGTAACAGGGCAGACAGCCTCACACAGAAATCTGAGGCAAATAGATGTAAATGAATTTTAGTTCAACTTTTTACTATTGATATTTTAATGGTGAGAAAAAGAATTAGTTCAATACATAAGAGCTAGATGTACTCTGTCTCATTATGAATGATAGTAATTGTTGAAGCAAAATAAATTACCTGTCTCTTATTTACATTATTTGTGATCTCATACTTTGTTCTGTTTTTTTTTTTAAATATATAATTATTTATTGAAATAAAATGTGTGATTTTTTTAAAATTCAAGCAATCTATTTGTTGCAACACAACAAAAAGTGAATTGCCATTAATTAAATAAAAAATTACTCTCAATTAAAGCTTAAAATTTTGAGTAGCTTCCTTGCCATCAAGTATGATATTCAGAAAAACTGAGTAATCCTGATAGAAAACCTAGCTACACTTTTTGAGAAAAATTTGCAAAACATATCAAAATGAAGTTTTTTCTCTGTTCCAATATGAATGTGCTCTTTTTTTTCCAATTATGCTACTAAAAGTTAGAACAATTTTTCTAGAATTATTATTAAACGATCAACATTATTAATACAGGGCATTATTATTAATGTAAACGCATTATCAAAAATATTGAGTATTATCAATATCAAAAATATTGAGTATTATCAACTGACCTTTTAAAATGCATAACATCTGGATTGTTACAGATCTTTTCTTCCTTCTTGGTACTATTTATATTCCCCACCTGGCATGCTGGCAGTTTTTTCCATGATGTAAAAGGGCACTTTATTATGATTTTGCTATATTTCTAATTAAATATTTCACCAGGCATGTAAGGGATAAAAATACATGACTGATCAGAGTTTACATAACAGGAATAAATTGGTAAATATAATTGTTTAACCCTGCACAGATTGCCTTGCATACCATAAGTTAAAAATAAAATGAATAATAAGAGTGTGCATTAAAATGGTAAATAATTTATGTAAATAAAACAATTTACAAACCTTGAAAATCATATATTGATGCCTTCTCTAATAGTTCATCAGTCATATTATTAATTGTTTCAACTATTAATTGCCTAATTTCTTCTTGCTTGCAATTGGCAATAGACATCAATGATTCATACAACTCAGTTTCACGCTGTCTGGCATAAGCAATTCTCTTAGGAGTAATCAACATATCCCATGTCATGTCAAAAGCACTCATTATAAACATGCGTAAACAAGTGTTATGAGCCTCATTTAATATTGTTGCAACTTGTACCAATTCAGCTTGTAAAATTTGACGAATGTGCAAAGCAAAACTAAAATAAAATTGAAAGTTTAAAATCACTTATATGACAACTGACTTCAAGATTAACATGAACTCAGCAGTTATTCCATTCAAAATCATTAATATAAATTCAAACAGAGAGAAATGCAAAATATGAAAAATTAATGGTATTTTTTCCAGTGGCATTCTTAAATTTGCCACCCTCTAAAAATTATTAAAAAAATACTGAATATCCTTCAAAATATCAAATACTACATGTCTCAACAGAAAATTTGAAATAATTTCTTTTCACTTTCTTCAAAAGCATAAATTTTTAAGTTTAAAAAAATGCAATGAATAAATACAATGTATATTTTGAAAATAACAATTTAAAACAATACAGTGGGAAAAAACACTTTTCTACTAAACAGGGGTGCTACAGAACCTATGAAAATGATAACTTAACTACGAAGAATTTAGTATAGAATAAATTATTGTGGAATTGGAATAAATTATTGTGGAAAAATTTTACTTGCATAAATTATTTTTCAAATTCAATTGAATCTTGAAATAATTGATAAAATGTTTTTACAGATACACTAACCTCTCTAAATCAAAACGTAAAAATATTTCATTAAATAATTCTAAATAATACATTTTTGCAAATAATACAGTCCAAATAATACATTTTTAGGACTACAATAAAATAAATCCATAACTATAACAAAAATTAACTTTTAAATTCATACAAAAAAACAGAAATGTTTACAGTCCTAACAAGTGAACCTCACAAATTGTCACATACTAACGTTGATGAATGAGATAGTTGTCATTAGGTTTTATTCCCATGTAACAATTCAAAAAATTACGAACTTGAATTTTGCAAAATGTTTTTCAGTAAAAAAAAAAGAAAAAAAAGACTTATTATAAAGAATATTTTTCAAAATTTGTTAAAAGATTATTTTGTTGAATGTGTAAATATCATGAGTAATCTATATTAATAAGTACAGCTCCAGAATTATAAGTGAATATAAATTTCCTTTGAAAGTAGGATAAATACAAATCAACATATTAAATTTTATCAAAATTTACCTTTGAAAATTTTCTAAATCTTCAATTAGTTTGCTTTCCACTTCAATGGCTCCGCTAGGTTGTCTACACAGTTTCTTCTTGAGATTTGGAGAGATCACATTCAAAAAACCAAGCCCACATAATTGTTGAAATAAAGTCATAGAAGTTGAACCTAATTTAGAATCCAGCGATTCTTTTCTTTTTAACACAGTTTGATGCATAATGGATGTTTCGTGATAAGAATGAGGTTTGAATGAAGTTTTTTTACGAGCGTTAAAGCCAATTCCTCTTTCATGCTGTTCAGATTCAGTAAGTTCACAGCAGGGTGGAACTACACAAATGAAAAATATAGGTAGTTTTGGAAATTTCTTCTTTAATTCCATAAGTTCTGTCACTTCCTATGAAAAATGAAGAAATGTTAACTATTTTGTATTAAAATAAAGAATTACATAACAATTTTTTAATTTACGTAATACAGTGAAAAGTATCTTGCAGTTTCAAATAAATTGTAGCGCCTAATAAAATACAAATAAGAATTATGATAATGCACAAATTTTTTTTTTTTTTTTAAAACTAAAAGCATACATTTTATTATAGTCTCGTTTAAGAAAAATATCAATCAGAAATAGTACAAATTTTTGCAGAGATAAACAATAAATAAATTTTTAACACATCAGAAAGATGTCCAAGATAAAACTTAAAACAAATAAATGCATAAGAAATTAGGGTTCTTATAAAATACGAAAGAAAAGTAAAAATTGATTAGTAATCTTACAAACCAATAAAAAAAATTTTTACTTTCACAAAATGTAAAATTTAAAGCAAATGACAATTGGTTAATATTCAATTTCTGTAATATTATACAACTCCAATAAAGTCTAATTATGCATCCCATTACCTTTTGAGTTAAAGTGCCATTAGCAATAGCATATATCACAATAGGTGTATAACCTTCCATACAAATAGAAAGAACTTGCTCAAAATTAGCATTAACATTCGTGGGAGATATCATAACAACCACATCATCTCTGAGTAACTGATGACGTAACTTTATGTCTAATATTGCACTTTCAAATGCTGGATCTTCACTACCTTTTCTCTAAAAATAAAAATAGCTATTAAAAAATATTCAAAACTTTACCTGTAACTCACAAAATTATACATTCTATTACATAAAGTTTGATACTATAATGTATCAAACTTTAAACACAGCTTTTCTTGTTTAACACCATATGAAAATTAACATCTCGTCACCTATAACCTTATACTGAAACTGATCAATGAAATCCCTAAAGCTAGCAGGAGAAATATATATTTGCTAAAATACTTTGTTATTATTTACATATTTGTTAACTGCACAATGAAAAAATAGTTTCAATGTTCAGTTGATCAAAAAACTTTTTAAATTGTTGGAAGAAGAATATTGTGCTTCTACTATGTCATCTGGTATAAAATACTTAGAAAATAAATTAAAAGAAATCATATATTAGAAGATGAAATAGGTTCAGATACTTGAGGTTCAATTGAATCTTAAAATGAATCTTAAAAGAATTATTAAATAAATAAAATGCATATAATTGATGATTAAAATGATCACTGAGCTTTTATGAAAGAAAACTTTATTGAGTCAAAAGCATGGTTTTAAATCTTTGAAGAAACTAAAACACATTTTAAAATAACTCCTTAAGTATCAATATTTAATGTGTCAAATGTATAAAAAAAAAAAAAATTATTATTTTGAAAAAAATCATAATAATGATGATACTTACTTTCAATTCAAGATCTTCCAAAGGAACAGTATGCCATTGTTGTTCATGAGAAACAAGATGACCTAATAATTCATAACTATTTGGAAGAGCTAATGTCACCTGAGTTTGAACACCATATATAAATCTGACCTAAATTGAAAAAAATCAATTTTATTAAAGCTCACCTTATATTCATTAAAAACTATGGACAAATCAGAAAAAAGTAGAGCTGCTTAACACTAGCATGTGCTCACACAACACAAAACTGTAAAGAATTGAACTAAGCTTTTGATTATGTTTGATTGTTCTGGTGCGATGTTATGAGGAAATGGATCAGAGAAATTAACCTCATGGAGCTAATAACCACCTATAATGCGTGCAAAGATTTCTCTTCCTTGCTCATCCTTGTTTGAAAGTGTGGTCTTTCAAAAAATTGACTGCCTATGACCAATTTAATATCACTGAGTAAAATATTGGAAAATTACAATCATCATTATCATAATTACTCTCGTTATATTAATGAACATAAAACAGCTGGCAGCTCATCATAATCACTTAGTTGTCAATAGTGTAATTAAAATGTTAATGTATCACATTATTACCTATTTTAATAATGTAATTTTAAACTTAAAAAGTTACAAAAGGTACTGAAAATTATGATTTCGTTTATTATTTATTCAATCTTCCTTTTATTCTTTTTACATGGTAAGAACCCTATATTTAAAAAGAATTGCATAGATCATGTCCATCAATGATAAATTATAGAGATAAATTTTTGAAATTTATATTTGTTTTTTTTGTGTAAAAAGTTTTAAACTTAGAAAAGTTAAATGTTCACCTCATCCCAATGACAACAAAATAAATAAAAAGAAATGCAAACACTATAACAAAAATAATATATATATGTAAGAAAAATCAACTAATATAGTTTAATTTCTTGTAATTACAGTGATTCAGAATAAATATTTAGATCTTCAAAATACATTATAAAAATAAAAGTTTTCCTAACCACTTGCTTTAGTAAGAAATTTACAGCTGCATGTACTTCATTAGTCAAGGGCTGTAAGGCATTAGGTGTTCAATGTATTAGGGAAATCACAAAAATCTTATTTCGTATCACAAACAATGGATATCTTTTTTAATACATGGTATTATTGTATACACAGGTGTACAACACATTATTAGTGATTTGTGAGAAAAGTATCCTTATGTTCATGCACATTTTTTTAAGGCAAGAAGTAGTTACGAAAATTTTAAATAAAAATTAAGAAAATTGAACTTCATTCCCACATAAAAATATTAATATGACAATTTACAAAAATAAAAATCCACTAAATCTAATTAGTCGTTTTAATTCAACCTAACAGGAATATTAACTTTACAAAATAAAAACAATCTATTGACAATGCATTGAAATATTTTTTTTAACTACATGATATTTAAAATCCTTGAATTTAAAAGTTAATATTATAGTTCAATATTAAATATAGAACAGTTATACATAGTACAAAAGGCATGCTAACACAGCTCAGAGATAATCTAAGTCAAATAATACAAATTCTAAAATCTAAAAATTTTTTGGGGAAAAAAAAAAAGAAAAAAACCTCAAATGAAACTAATGTTAATTGATTGTTTTTATGTTTCTAAGTCAGTGGAAAAAAAATTATTTCCTGTAACCTGTTGCAACCTCTTGATATTTTACAAGAATTTTTTTTAAAAATAAAATAAAAAATTTGCATAATCATTAGTTAAAAAATTGCTCTTTTTCCTAATACATAATGATTTTATTTAAAATTGATACCTTAAGAGTTGTGCAATTTTATCAAACAACTATTATAATTTTTACTTAATTTTATATATATATATATATATATATATATGTATTATATAATTACATTACATATTACAATAANTGCAAAGCTTTCTCTTTCAGGATAAGTCCTGAAATTGGAATGTTTTGGGCTCGGGCCATTCTAAACCATTTAACAAGAGCATTTTCAACGTCTTCGAAGGTCGAAACACGCATTCTCTTTCTCTTCTCGCCATCCTGAACACGTAAAGAACTTTCAATTTTATCTTTTAAGGACCAAATGGCAATGAACGTTGTGCGAGGGACTCCTTTCCGTTTTGCAAAAGCAGCCTTAGACATTCCAGATTGCTCAAATTCTCTTATCATTTGGAGCTTTTCATCCAACGTCCAAGATTTGTATCCAAGTTTACTCGCCATGGCACTAAACTAAAGACTAGAGAGACTCGATACACCACCGCACTGCTACGCCGTACTAAGTTTTACAGGAGAGAGAAGAAAAGGCGCGCACTCCAACATGCTCGTTTTCTGCCACATGTTCTCCCGCCCCCACCGTTGCCCCCTCGTAAGGTCAGAGATAAGGAGCATTATTGCAACTCTTTCTGCAAGACATGTTGGAAGGAGGGGTGAGACAAAAGGGCAGGGGGAAAACGCTTCCAGTGTCCGAATTCCATTACCCCCTCGTAAGGTCAGAGATAAGAAGCAGCAACTCTTTCAGCAAAAGGGGGTGGAAGGAGGGGTGAGACAAAAGGGCAGCGGAAAACGCTTCCAGTGTCCGAATTCCAAGAACCAGTTGCCTAGTGCGAATGGCAAAATTAGCCAAGTGGAAATTTCCGAAAAAGTTGACTGGAGAAAAGCAATTTCCCAGTGAAAACATTCTTTAAAGTGTCATTTTATCCGGAGTTCATAATTTCTCCATGACGTATTAAACGGAGTTTGTTAACACTAAATCCAATGCAAATCAATCGGGACTTGAAAAAAAGCGTCGAAATAACCGGAGTGACGAATTAAGCGAGTGTCAAATTATCGAGGTCCGACTGTATGACAATTTACAAAAATAAAAATCCACTAAATCTAATTAGTCGTTTTAATTCAACATAACTGGAATATTAACTTTACAAAATAAAAACAATCTATTGACAATGCATTGAAATGTTTTTTAACTACATGATATTTAAAATCCTTGAATTTAAAAATTAATATTATAGTTTAATATTAAACATACAACAGTTATAAATAGTACAAAAGGCAAGCTAACACAGCTTAGAGATAATCTAAGTCAAATAATACAAATTCTGAAATCTACAAGTTTTTTTGGGGGGGAGAAAGAAAAAAACATCAAATGAAACTTATGTTAATTGTTTGTTCTTATATTCCTAAGTCAGTGGAAATAAAACTATTTCTTGTAACCTGTTGCAACCTCTTATTGATATTTTATAAGAATTTTTTTTTTTCAAAATAAAATAAAAAAATATAATCATTAGCTAAAAAATTGCACTTTTTCCTAGTGCATAATGATTTTATTTAGAATTGATACCTTAAGAGTTGTGCAATTTTACCAAACTATTATAATTTTTACTTAATTATATATATATATGTATATATATATTATATATATGTATTATATAATTACATTACATATTACAATAATTTACATTAAATATAAAGTAATTAAATTTTGTTAAACATAAAGTAAGTACATGAAGTTTAAATAAATTAACTACATAATTTTATTTTATTTTTAAAATCAAAGCATATTTTTCCAAAAATTCATTTCTTTGTTTTAACTCCTTTTAAATTAACCATATTAAAAAGAGAGAGAAAGAAAATAACGTACCATGCGCCAGGAAAACTTAGAACCATCACTCTCTGCATCATGAGGTTCTGTGGGTAATATTTTCTGTCCAAACAATTCATTAGCAACAGCTGCTTTAGCCCAACAATCATGTCCTAATATTGTAATCCCTACAGCACTGTAAATTAGATCATGTACAGCTTGCTCATTCTCAAGTTTTAATTGGATACTGGAGATTTGTTCTGAAATAGATTTAATCATTTTTAATAACTAGAAAATAGAGAAAAATATTAGCTACAACCCACAGAAATTATTGATAAACTGAAGTTACAAATTAAACCTTTTTCTTTGATTTCAGATGAATCAGAAAACTTAACAGTATAAAAAATATGGTTAATAATGAAAATGCTAAGATAGTCAATTGGCAGTGATATAAATAGAACAGAGCAATGTAAGTTATCATATTCAACCTATTGTGAAAAATCTCCTTATAATTTTGCGAATGTTAAAATGTGGACCAGATGTTTTTAAAAAATTAAGAAAAAATGTGGTTGGAACAAACTCTCTGTGAAAGGCCCATATTTATGAAAAATCTATTCACAGTTTTGTAAAAATAAGCTTCTTTTGGGGGGGGGGAGAAACAAAAAACTGGTCTTTCAAGGAGTTTTTGTTTTAAAAAAATGATTAAAGCAGTTAAATTTCTTGAAGGAAACATTTTTTTAATTTGTAAAAAATAATTTGTAAATGATTAGTTATAACAATAAATTAATTTATGAAAAAATTTTGCAAATGGTTTGTTAACAGACTCAGATTTTTTCTAAAATGACCCCTGAAAAGTTATATTTAGATAATTACAAGAAAATAAAAAAATTAAAGAGTTTTACCCTTAAGTTTGCCTGATATTCAAATTTTTTGTTTCACCTTTGCATGTGTCAGTAACTAATTGTTGCCAAAACTTATCAACTGTTTTAGCCCAGGTATCACTATATAGAGAAATCTTTCCAATAAACTTCAAATCTTTTTTCATTTACTCTACATTACAGAAAGTACACGAAATATGTAAGATAATCCAATGCAGACATAAATTTTTTTAAGCATTGATGTTTACAGATTACAACATACAATACCCTAATGCTAATCAAAAAAATTTGAATTTTATTAATATTTTCAAACTTAAATCAATAAAACCTAAAAAGTTGCGAAAAGAGCATTGATTTTCAAACTTTATGTCTTGTAGTTTTTTAAAGCTACCAAAAAATGGAAAAACTTCAAATCAAATGGAAACAAAAGAACTAAAATATTACCTTACAATTTTTTTAGTAAAAAATTAAAAGACAATTCAGAAAATATAAACATTTTTTGAATTAAAGAAAAACTTTCAAAATAGTATTTAGGAAACAATTTCTAAATAATCAATGAAAAAAATAACCAAATATTTTAAACCATGGAAATTTCAATGTTTATTTCATTTTAATGTAGAGTTTCTGATGTAGTATATGAAAGAATATCCTTGAGTTGAAGAAAAAAAAAAATAGAAACTAAAGGTGAGCACAAAATCTTTTAAAGAGATGGACAACACATTGTTTCGAAATAATTTTGACTATCCAGGGAGGGAATAAAGTATTTAATATTAATTATTTATTACCATTTTAATGCATTTTGATTCATAAATGTTTAATTATTTCTTTTTTTTTAATGAAAACCAGTGAAAATGAGTAATAACTAGAAAAATCTTCTAGTTATATCTCTAACTATTCCTTGAATTATGTGTTTCAAGATATATTTAGATTGTAAAATATTTTTTCAAATCTTTTGAGATCTTTAAATTGACACCTCTAAGTTTTTGAATTTTAATGTCTGAATCAGCAGGATTTTTATTTTTTGAAATGTTTCTAAAATTTCCAATTTTTTTTTTAAATTTACTGATTATTAATTTTCACAAGAAAGTGATGGTGCAACTAGACCAGTCAAGTAAAGTAAGTCAGGGGTCTGCCTAGGCCTAATTTACTACCGTTTAGCCGTACCTTCACAAATTCCACTTTACGAAAAAAGGATAGTTTCACAAAATACTTTTTCTTAAAATTTTATCTTTGTATCCCTTAAGAAACGATAAATTCATATTTTTACCATATTTTTGTGTTGATTTTTCAATATAATTCTTAATTTTTCACAAATTATGTCTAAATTTTCACAAAACAGGTCCCTCTCAGAAAAACCTACACAGACCTCTAAGTTCTACAGTCTTAGTGTTCAGCATAGTTATGTCATAAAAAAAAATAACATTATGTTTTAAAAACAAATTTGCATCTTCCCAAATGTTTGGCATGTAGTGTAGGTGCAAATATATTTTAAATACAAGTAGAAAATTATTTAACAAATTTTTAAACTAGTTATTTAGCATTTTATGTAAATCCATTAAGCAAAGATATAATTTAAAATGCTTAATAGAAATCAAATAATTGTAGTTGAGCTGTCAAACCTTGAATGTTTGACATTCAATCACGCTTGTTACAGTTTATAGAACTTAGTTTGAAGGAGGTGGACAACAACTGTAGTTAAATGTCTCTGCAAATATAAAATTGCGGCATTCTTACTGAAGAAGAGCTTCCTCAGAAGTGTGTTTTCTTAAAAAATTATTGGGAAGATTTCGGTATAGAGATCTGCGTCAGAATAATCGCCTAGTCTTGGCAACTTCGGGAAGAGCTTCCTCAGAAGTGTGTTTTCTTAAAAAATTATTGGGAAGATTTCGGTATAGAGATCTGCGTCAGAATAATCGCCTAGTCTTGGCAACTTCGGGAAGAGCTTCCTCAGAAGTGTGTTTTCTTAAAAAATTATTGGGAAGATTTCGGTATAGAGATCTGCGTCAGAATAATCGCCTAGTCTTGGCAACTTCGGGAAGAGCTTCCTCAGAAGTGTGTTTTCTTAAAAAATTATTGGGAAGATTTCGGTATAGAGATCTGCGTCAGAATAATCGCCTAGTCTTGGCAACTTCGGGAAGAGCTTCCTCAGAAGTGTGTTTTCTTAAAAAATTATTGGGAAGATTTCGGTATAGAGATCTGCGTCAGAATAATCGCCTAGTCTTGGCAACTTCGGGAAGAGCTTCCTCAGAAGTGTGTTTTCTTAAAAAATTATTGGGAAGATTTCGGTATAGAGATCTGCGTCAGAATAATCGCCTAGTCTTGGCAACTTCGGGAAGAGCTTCCTCAGAAGTGTGTTTTCTTAAAAAATTATTGGGAAGATTTCGGTATAGAGATCTGCGTCAGAATAATCGCCTAGTCTTGGCAACTTCGGGGCAGCNAATTTTCATAAAACAGATACCTCTCAGAAAAACCTAGGCAGACCTCTAAGTTCTGCAGTCTTAGTGTTCAGCATAGTAATGTTATAAAAAAAAATAATGTTTTGTTTTAAAAACAAATTTGCATCTTCCCAAATGTTTGGCATGTAGTGTAGGTGCAAAGATATTTTAAATACAAATAGAAAATCATTTAACATATTTTTAAACTAGTTATTTAGCATTTTTTGTAAATCTATTAAACAAAGAAATAATTTAAAATGCTTAATAGAAATCAAATAATTGTAGTTGAGCTGTCAAGCTTTGAATGTTTGACACTCAATCACGCTTGTTTCAGTGTAGAGAACTACGTTTGAAGGAGGGGGACAACAACTGTAGGTAAATGTCTCTGCAAATATAAAACTGCGGCATTCTTACTAAAGAAGCTTCCTTAGAAGTGTGTTTTCTTAAAAATCATTGGGAAGATTTCGCAGGGGTCTGTTTAGAAGAAATTTGGGTCCGTTAACGGACCTTTCACAAAATATCCCTTCATAAAATCGGACCCTTCACAAAATATTTTAACTTAAAAACGGACCCTTCACAAAGTCATTTTTCTTTTATTCGGACCCTTCACAAATTTGTTTATCTTCATTATTATTTAGTTAATCGAATAAACCCTTTCCAAGGCAGAAAACAAGAAAAATGGATGTAAATGAATTAAGTTTTGTCTTCGGCGGAAAATTCTTCCATTATTCGTCCTAAATGAATATTCTGCATTCAGCAGTATAGGCTAAATACCAAATATTTGTATGTTGCATTTCTAATTTAGAAGCAGCAATTGTTGTTTATTTTTGAAAATTTAATTCTTTTAATTATAATTTTACAGTGTTGAGCATAATCTTGTATCTACTTACAATTTAAAAACTCCTTGAAAAAATTTTTTTTTGCAATAACGGACCCTATTTGCACAAATTCATAAAAGCGGACCCTGGTTGAAAGAATGAGTAATTTTTTCACAATTTCATGAAAAACAGACCTTTCACAAAATGTCTGGACAGACCCCTATTTCGGTATTGAGATCTGTGTCAGAATAATCGTCTAGTCTTGGCAACTTCGGGCAGTGGCCCGCGAGAAACTAAAAATACATCACAGAAACAAAAGGAAATGGAATAAAATCGAAAGGAATAATTCCTAGCCACCCCCAGGCAAACATCAACATGTTTTAAATTTTTTTTATAAATTAGCAAGTTATCTATTCAGCACCTTGGCGATTGTAGTTAGCACGACAGATCAGGATACGGGAATCATTGTGGTAATTTCCTTCTTAAGTTTTATATTTAACACACAAATATGAAGAAATAAATAAGAATTTTTTAAAAAAACTATTAACCTTTACTACATAAACAATTCAAACTTAAAAATTGTCTCTAAATGTATTTTAAAAACATTACATGAAACAGTAAAGTTAAAATTTTGAATCAACACACTTTAAAAATCTTAAGAGAGCTTTTTAATTTTTTTAGTTAAATACACAATATATAAGTATTTAAAAACTAAACATTAAATAACTATTATAATAAAAAAACTGAATTAGAGTACTCTAATGAAAAAAACGAAAGAAATGTTATAAAACTATACTTAAACTATAAAAACAGAAATAAGCAGTTTTACCATTGAAATATCACACAGATTTCAAAATAATAATAAATAATTTTAATGAGAAAGTAGGTTTGTAATAGCAATTTACACAAACGAGGAAAAATACAACGGTTCAACAATAATTTCTAACAAGTAATAAAAAAATAGTTTTAAAAGTATGACCAGAAAATATATATTATGTACCATCGGTAAAATATCCACTTTTTTCAATATCTTCAAGGGATTGTTTAGTATCACGTAGTATTCTTCTGAGCTGTCTTGAATGATTTCTAAATTTTGAAATTTCATAAGGTAAACTTGCTGCCATAATTTATGAGTTAAAAACTATTTACAGCTATACATTCGCAGGATTTTGTGTATTGCATTAGAAAAAAAAGATTTCGACAAACACTTATCAGAGAAAAATATGATATCTCCAGGTTTCTCACAAACACATTACGAACAGAGAATTCCTGCGCCAAGACGAAAACTAAAATTTTATCAGAAGAGAAAAAAGTTATTTTTTTTATTTGATTATCGTGGTTACAGTTAACAAAAGGAAATAACGTTTCTAAGCTTATACTTATATAATTAATAAAATTAAACTTCTACTTCAACTTTCAGCTCTACTCGGAATTCAAAACGTCACAGCGAATATAATTTCATTTTTCAAATACATAACAAATATTAAAAAAATAATGTAACTAATAGGATATGAAATTTACGAAACTAGGAAAATTTCAGAGAAATCCCAGGTTCTTGGGACTTTTGAATAAAGGTATGTTCTGAAATAGGAAAACAAGTGCGGTAACTTTGACTGTGGTTGCGAAATATATTTTCATATGAAATTCATAGATAAAAATTTCTTATATTAAAATTATGTATATAAATTATAAATATTAAAAAAGGTATTTAGATCAAATGAAATATTGGAAAATTTATTTAAAGAAAATTTATAATTTTTTTATATTTATTTTATTTAAAATATTCTATCAGTTTTTAAAACTTTATTTAAGAAATTGTATTTATTAAAATTTTTATTTATTTAATTCGTTATTTTTAATATGTTTAATTGATATTTTATCCGTTTATTTATTTAAGCCAGGAAAAAATTTAAATTTTAAATGAATTTTTTTTTTCAATAATAGCTCAAAAAGTACTAAAAAATAAAACTGTCGAATACATGTATATATATTATAAAACTTATTAATGTAATACATAAGAGAATAATACTTCATAAATACAAATTTTTTTATGGGAATGCGTCTCTAAAAGAGTTGCCAGTTTCGGTTGAGACATTTAGATAATGATTAAATTGCTCACTCATCATACAGTAAAAAATTAATCTGTTAGTCTGCCTGAGCGTCGATGAGTTGATTTCTGAGTAAGGACAATTCTACTTCTCTATAACTACGAAATTGATTGGAGTCCATGATAGAATATTTTATCATGTGATTTTAGATGCATGAAGAAAAATACTTAGAGCAATTTTTAAGTTTTAGTTTTTTGCAAAATAATTGATTCATAGTGTTCTAAGGATGAATTCTTAAAATAAACGTGTGAGATAAAGGCACTAAATTTGTAATTTTTTTCTAAAAGGTGGAATGCTGCAATAAAAAAATAGCAAAAGTTGATCAGGGTTTAGAAAAATGATGACGAATATTAAAGATGAATAACATTTAAGCCCTGAGCTTTAGCTGCAAGCTTTCCTACATCAAGTTTCCTACATCATCCGGTCTCCTCCTTGTTATAAAATGAGAGAGCGGCCGTAACAAAAAAATTTCTATGCAATTTTACCAACGCGTGGAGGATTGATATGAATAAAAATTTTATGAATGAAATTAAGCATGACAAAATTTATTTTGCACTTAAATATCTTAAAGTCAATTTTTGTACACATTTTAATCGCAATCAAATTATTAACAAGTACAGATAAATTTTCATGAAAAGAACACGGTACATGGTGAGCAAAAGGATTCTATATCCAAATTAGATCTGAGGAAGAAATAAAAGAAATAGATAATAAAAATTGCGAAAGTTGTTAATAATAATTAATATCTAATAAGATGATGTCTGGTCAAAGTAAAAATATCTGAAAATTTACGAATTATTAAAAGGCTATTTTTTCATGATTTTTTTTCTTAATCTCATTTATTTCATTAACTTATTTTTTAAAAGTTAAAAAATTTGTGCTTGATAAAATTTTAAGTCATTTATTTATTTTTTAATTCTCTAAAAGGGATAAAATTGTAGAAAAAACTGTTATTTCATAAAAATTACCGAAAAATAAGAATTAAAAAACCGAAGTATTGGAATACATTGGACAATAATACGATGACAAGCGTATATAGAAATTAAAATGTCAAAAATTTCGAGCATTTTAAGATCTTAAAGAACATCTAAAATTGAAAAATTACGCTTTTTTTTAGACACGTACGACATGTAAGCTTTTATTGGAAAACATAAACATTTTGATAGAAAAATATTTCTCAAACAGCAAATTTCATGTTATAACAAATATTCAATTTTCTCGAATGTTGCACTTTATCCGAATATGAGTAATAAGTTGAGTAATCTATGTATAGTATAACATGAGATTTTGTCGTATGAATACCATAAAGGATTCATAGTCCTATATCCTTTAGCTTGTAAAGAATATATTTAAAAAAATTTTTAAATATATATATATNATTTAAAGTGAGTGAGTTCAATAAAGAAAAAGCATACAATTTCATTTGATCTTAACTCCATGAAATCTTACATCATATGTCAAAAAATTTAATTTGAAACTTTTTAATTATTTTTAAGGAGTGAGAAAAAAAACGCATTCGTCGTAATTTTTTTTAAATATAATGAAAGCATAATTTTATGCTAACAATCTCTTATTAAACTTAATGTTAAATAAAATTTATTTAAATTTTCAAAAAAAAACTTTTTTTCTTCAAAATTCAGCTATTGAGAATTGATTTTTAATAGCAGAATTTTCTCGGTAGCGCTTCGCGCTGTCGTGCCACAGGTCCCTGGTAAGATCCTCGGGCCGGGTAAGGTTGACTCAGCCATTCATCCCTTCAGTGGGTCGATAAATGAGTACCAAGCATGCTTGGGAACTAAACACTGGGGTTTCCGCGTTCGGCTGACCATCTGACCGGAACATCTGCTTCTGCACCCCAGAGCCCAAGGTCAAGAAACCTGAGATGGACGCAGTAGGCCTTGGCCCTCTATGGGCTGTCGAGCCGCTGTTTTAGTTTTAGTTTTAGTAGAATTTCCTCAGACAAAAGCAACCATGAATAAATTTTTGTTAAAAAAAAGCGAGCAATCAATTTACATAAAGTAAAAAAAATTAAAACTAAATAAATAAAAATTATGTTAGCAGGTGTGTGTGGATAGAGAAAAAAAAACTATATTATTTCTTATGTCCTGTCGAGCCTAATAAAACTAATTTCTGATTTACTCTTTTACAGTTTTGCTCCGACAGGAAGAAAAAAAAAATTTGGGCAAATATTTTCAACAGGCTGTAGCATTAGATAAAAAAAAAAAATTAGAACGGGAAAGTTTTCTTAAATTAAAAACTCTCATAACCATTTGATGTAAATGATGTAAATTTTATGATTGAGAATTTTCGAATATCTAAAATAGTTTTCATTATAATGCTATTGATAGTGCTTCTGAAACATTTACTTCATGGTAAGTATATGATTATTAAATAAAGCATCAAATATTTACCTAGAAATATATTTAATTTTTGTTGCTCTAGAAAAAAAGTTTGATGTATTTTCATTGTTGATGACATAAATATAATCTCATTACTTTTCAAAAACCATTTTCTGGTGGTTGCATGCTCTTTAAAACTATAAATACCATTCTTTTTACTTCCGAATGATACTATTTTGGATAGATAAATTTTTGCATGTTACTTTTAAGGGTTAAGACGCACTTATCCTTAAAAATATCCTTAAAAAATTATTTTTCGTTGAAACTGAAAATATTGACATTTTTTTAAAAATTTGTCTAATGTCTTGAATTATAAGTCTTAAATTCAATAAATTTAAAAAAAGAGAGAGAGAGAGAAAATGTACCACTTATTACAAAAAGTTACTATGAATTCTGGAAATAGCACTTAATACTAACAGAATACACATGAGTACGAGCCCTCTAACTGGGACTATCATTTGATATTCTTTTTCATTTTACTTTAGCTGAAAGAAACAGCATATTATAACTGTCACTCTAGTAAAACCTTTACGATCATATTATTACGGATTCAATGTCTGCATTAAATCGATGAACTTCTCCAGGGTTACTAAAAGGTTTGAAAGACATGAAGAAGATAAGATACGACAATGTGTGCAATAATCCAGTTTATCTTATCACAAAGAATTAACGATGTTTCGTCCTTGGTTGTACTTCAAGAGCGCTGGGAGTCATCTGAAGTTATTAATAACCACATTGATGATGAAAATTGCTTGCATATCAATTAAAAGAACTCGTTTTCGTTGATGTTCGATGTGATGCAACTTTGTCTTGCTTTGAAATAAATGCCTTAACCATGCACCTTTCTTTCTGAAGATTTGCTGTAGAATTTAAATAATTTATTTCTTTTCTATATGAAAGAGATTATAAATTAAATATAAAATTTTAATTTAATTAAATTCTTGTTTTATGCGAATGAATATTTATCATGTAGTTTTATTTATTTTTGTTTATGAAAAAAAATAAAAAGCTTGCTTTCACTTTGTTAAAGAGCATTTATCATAAATTTATATTTATTTTTGTTTATTAAAAAATTAGGTCTAAAATATATAGACATTTCCTTATAAAAATCCTACTTTTTAAAATAACGCTATTTAAAAAGGAATTTAGTAGTAGGCACTGACGTTAAAGCAAAACTCTGAATAAAGCAACCAAAAGAAGAAAAATTCTTTTTTTTTAATGTTTTTTGTGAATATATATTTTCTTAATTCAAATGGAATGACGAAGTAATATGAGCAAATTTTAGTAATCTTAAATTAACCAAAAGGTACAAAAGTAAAAATATTTTTTTAAGCTTTTCTAACTATTTGTATTCGATTTAATAAAGTATTTTACGTGAAAACATGTTTAAAACATACTAATCAATGTTTATTTGTCTATTAAATGACCTCCCTCAGCCATTTCAATTGTTTTTCCAAAAAGGAAAAGTCGTCTGCGAAAAGAATAATGCGTATTTAATTTCCTCAAGTGTTTTGAAAGCATCGGTCATTAAACTGTATTAAACGAAATTGGCGGGAAACAGTTTCTTTAATTTTTCTTTAAATAAACTTCAGCACAGCTGCATACTACGAATATTTGTGTCGTATAACTGTGGGTTTATTTGAACAGGTATAGAATCTCTTCTATTATTTATAGCGGAAATTTTATCTTTGTTTTATTGTCACTATATTTACCACATACGCATTTACAATTCTATAAGTATTGTATTTTCTTATTCTGGACTAAAGTATTTTTTTCTTTGAAAATTCTCTTTTGTTAGTTATCATATTTTATAAGACGATCT